TCTGTCTGTTCTGTCTGTTCTGTCTGTTCTGTCTGTTCTGTCTGTTCTGTCTGTTCTGTCTGTTCTGTCTGTTCTGTCTGTTCTGTCTGTTCTGTCTGTTCTGTCTGTTCTGTCTATTCTGTCTATTCTGTCTGTTCTGTCTATTCTATCTATTTATTTATTTATTTATCTATCTATTTATTTATTTATCTATTTATCTATTTATCTATTAGTTAATTTCACTACCTGAAGATGTTTTCTAAGCAGACTTCTTTCTGTATTCCGTTGTTGTACTCCTGTCTCCCAAACTCCAGTCTAAGAAACAAAATCAATTATTATAACAATGTTAAAAATTCTTAAAACTAATTTCAAGTGACCCTTCATACTTAATAGTAATGCCCGATTAACAACGGTACATAAAAACCGTTATATGATTCTATCATGTTTTCCTACAGTAGTAATGAGCAAGTCACTTTGGAAGAAAATCTTTAATTGAAAATGATTGGTTTTCAAAATCATTAACATTGATAATCTAATTCAGATATTTTATCAGATAATAAAGCTTTTTGGGCATCATTATTCATTATGCATCTGGCAGTCATCTTTGCATTGAGAGTCGCATGAAATTACGCATTTAGTCACATTAAGAAGAGTATTTAGCTCAAAGATGATGAAATTTTGTGAATTAGAAATTCCCTTCTTCTGATATAGAGCACTGTCATCTTTTTATTCCTTTAAAGTCACTCTGAAACAAGCTTCTTTTGTAGTACAGCAAAATACAGGAAAATACAGGAAAATATAGAAAAATACAGAAAAATACAGCAAAATAAAGTACAATTGATAAAAAATGCAAGAACAGTTTGTGGATAAAAAAAAATAAAGGCTTTTATGTAAATATAGAAAGTTTTAAGCGACACGTGAATAATTTTATTATTAACGAGCCCAAGGAATCCTCATTTTCGTAAATTCTTTTCAAATATGGTGGCTGGGGTGCACACTGCGCAATTAATATCTTGTCATCATCGAACAGAAGATTCTAGAGGGGAGGGAAGGGGTAAGTTTTCAGGAATGCTTTAGGAGAGGCATTTTCCTTCAGGTCTCTATATTTATATTGGATATTATGTATTCTGATATATGTACCTCGGGTTTTGGTTTCTGCTTTAGAACGGGTTGCAAAGTGTACTGCGCACTTGTACACGGATTAGTGTAAAGTTTGTGTACCGTATGCCCTGTATATGTACTTGAGAAGGTTCTAGTACTGGAGGCTGGAACACCATGTACTTGAGGGAGGGAGGATACTGATTGGAAGGTCTCGAGGCCAGGTATAGGTTGACCTATGTTCTCCATGGCAGGTAGAGGTCGACCCTGCTGGACCCAGCTACCAGCCAGTCTCTCTACAAATACATCAAGCGTTAGTTTTATATCCCTCGGAAACCTGATGGTTAATATATTTTTTACTTTGACCTTTAATCTGCAGAATGTATAGTTAAATTTATCCAATGTCTACGGCATAAGGTTGCAACGAAAGATATTAGAAAGTTAAAAGTTAGAGTATTCAGTTCCCTTATGGAAAGGGCTTCTAAGAAAACTTAAGTGAAGTTATATTTTTAAAAAGTTCTATCAAAGCTTGTAAATTCAAAAAAATGCTTTAAAAAGATCCACAAAGATTAAAGATTTTCAATAAGAAAAAAATAATCAAAAACTATTCAAGGTCGTTAGTGTAAAAAAATGAAGAGTGTTGTGACTATAAAATGTCAATTAATTCAAATTTATTGGATTATGCTTTGTGCATACTTCTCAATTCGTCCAAAACTAATTGAATATAATGTGGATCCCTCCTCCCTCTATATTATTATGTATTGGATGTCTTAACAACATGTGCCTTCTAAATAAATAAATATTTAATGTTTAGTTTAACATAACTAGTACTCAAGGTTGAATCCTGGGGGGGCGGACGTGCTAATCATTTAAATGATATAATTATAAAATTTAAATCTTAATTATACAATTATATAAACAGATTTCCTTTCTACGCATTGTTTTTTCTAATTTAAAAAAAAATCCTTAAGAAGAAATATATTTTTACAAAGGAATAAAATTTGGAAGCAAAATGTGTTTCAATAAGTTTTCCCACGTCTCCAAACTTTTGTAACACAAAATTGCATTTTTAAGAATAAAAATAAATATTAAAAACAGTAAAAAATCAAAGCCCAGTAGTGGAAGAGAAAAGAAGTGATTTTTGATTTAGGGGAGAGGGAATATTGGTAGGGGGGACCAAATTATCCCCAATAGATTGAAAGGCTTGTAGAATGTCGAGTGTAGACCTCATTTAAAGGAAAACTCCATTTTATTGAGTGTCAGGTCCGATTCGCAACGATGAACGATACCCTGTCGTATCATTAGTCACGAGATGTCCTAATTCCAGATTTAGGGCCTCAAGTGTTTGCTAGAAATTGTTAATCGGACATGCCCGAGAGTCACTTAAAATAAAGTTCTACCTGGAGGGGATAAAGAATGGAGGCTGAGGGGAGAGACGCTCAATCCTCCGGAGGACGTAGAGGATCCAAATCCCTTGGGCGAGGTCGCGAGCAATTTAGGCGAGGTTGCGAGGATCCTCGAGGAGGGTGAACTCGACCTCCAGCCTCCTGTAGGAGATAAACTAGATCTACGCTGCCCTGAACTACTTAAACCAGGAGCACCACCGGAACCTAAAGAAAACAATTTTCAGAAAAAACGTAAAAAGTATAACATAACCTATTAAAAAAAGTAAAAGAGTAAAAAAGGGTAAAAAATTAAAAAAGTAAACCCGCTATGAGAAAAAAATTATATTTATAGTAAGACAATTATTATCAAAATTCCATTTTGAAAATGTTTTGTTTAACAATAAAACTGAGGGGATGAAACCAATTATCAGTACGTTTGGATACTATCGAATAATCAACAGTTGTTGTATATTCTAATAAAAACTCAAGTGTTCACAATTCTTTATCTTTGTTCAAAATAAAAGTAACAGCCAAAAAAGATAAAAAGTTGCAGCAGACATGCATACATGTTTTTTTGGGGGGTTTAATTGCAAAAAGGAAAAAATGATATACCATAAAAGGTAAAAAGTAATAACTATTGCCAGTTATTGCCAAATTTTCATTTCTATCCATTAGTGTTTATTTGGTTCAGCCGTTTCTGTTTATTTGGATTTAAAGAAAAAATGAAAAACTAGAATTATTAATTACAAAACTTTGAATTGATTTTTTCAAATCAAATAAAAGTTGTTTCACGCATAATTGGTTTAAAGTCAGAACTGTTGTGTTAGGATCAAGTGTTGATATCCATCTTATGCAGACCCACGGAATAATCTGTCCAAGGAATCAAGTTTTTGCCAAAAACTCAGATTTTCTAATCCCTATATCTTTGAAACCCCTTATATATTTCAAACTATGAATTCTGTTAGATCAAATAATCTAAGTTTGAAATGTTAAAGAGGTGCTCAATCAGGTTGCAGGGATATCGGTTTTCGAAATTTAAGTTTGTGGCAAAGACTCAATTCCTGTAAAAGTGCATACAAAGAACTCAAGCTTTAAAGAATAGCGATCCTTCACATAAAAGTTTCTACCTCTGATTCGGTTCAGCCGTTTCTGTTTATTTGGCTCAACCGAACAGATGAGATGTAGAACGAGTAAAACTAATTAATATGCTTGGATTGACATAAGCAGATGCAGCATTCTCTTGTTTAACACTAATTATAGTGTCATATGTCACATCTACAGATATTTATATTTATATTTATATTTATGAATATATTTATATTTCTGTTTAAGATATTTATATTCATAGTTATATTTATGAATATATTATATCTATGAATATATTTATATTTCTGTTTAGGCAACCAGCAAGACACTAGGATTTATTAATTACCTCTAATTAACACTTTCTTTTGTGTTTACGTCTAGTTTTCAAGGGTTTAATGGTTAAAGAGTGAGAACAATAATGAAACCTCAGGAAACCTCAGACATGTTTTTGCTGAACTTTCAATGCACTACATGTAGGGGATTGAACCCAAACCGCGCCATTTTATACTCGGACTTTTATTGAAAGTAATGAAAATTACAACTTGCAAAAAGTTTGCAAAATATAAATTCGCCTGCATCATCCATGCATCTTGTTTGCAAACATCTAGACTACAGAATACATTTAAAAACCTGATCTAAGAACGTTTTAACTTGAAACAATAAAAAAAAGAAACAAAAGGCTTCCGTGATATTAAAAATTGCAAATTGCAAGAGGACTGAAAAACGTTTGTGTCTTTCCTTTCTTCCTTCATTCTATTTTCATCTACTTCCCTCTTTTACTTTCCCCATTTCATCCGATTCTCATCCTATTCCAATTCCCACCCTATTCCAATTCTCATCCTATTCCAATTCCCACCCTATTCCAATTCTCATCCTATTCCCATTCCCACCCTATTCCAATTCCCATCCTATTCCAATTCCCACCCTATTCCAATTCCCACCCTATTCCAATTCCCACCCTATTCCAATTCCCATCCTATTCCAATTCCCATCCTATTCCAATTCCCATCCTATTCCAATTCTCATCCTATTCCAATTCTCATCCTATTCCAATTCTCAACCTATTCCAATTCTCAACCTATTCCAATTCTCATACTATTACAATTCCCATTTCTAATTCTATCCCATCCCATCCCATCCCATCCCACCCCCCCCAACTCCTAAATCATTAACCCCATGCACGAGGTTACTAAATATGTTTGCCAAATGTTTGATTCCTAATAAAAGTTTGGTCAGCTTGGTTTAGGGTTAAATAACAGAGCTAGGAGAGTCAGATATCTGATACGCTCGTTACTTGGATACTTAACCAAGGATAATAAAATTGAGGATAGTTAAAGTCGCAAATATTGTTATCCAATGATATTCAAGGTAGGATAGTCAGGTTTACTAAAACCAAAATATCCGAGGAAATTCAAGAGGGATAGTCATGTTTACTAAAACCAACTTATCCAAGGATATCCAAGAGAGGATAGTCAGTCTTACTAGAACCAACCTATCCAAAGATAATTCAGAAAACTGAGAAAAGGATAGTTTATGTCATAAAACATGATTTTCCAAAGAATTAATTGGAACATTTTTTTCTAGGAAATTTGTATTATAGGCAGAGTGCAATCAAATCAAATCAAAATAAAAGTATTGTAGGAAAAGCTAAAATAGTACTGCACTAAAACATATGTTTACCTACTGAAAGAAGCCGGTTTAAACCTTGAACTTGTATAAAAAACTACACACTGTATATTGCAAAGGGTTGATGAACACTAACTGCTGCAGTTTGCAAAGTACAGATCCGCTAACAGAGAGGTTTACCGGTAAGACTGTTTTCTGACAACCTGACTACTAGACTACCAGACAACTAGACTACTAGACTATCAGACTATCAGACTACCAAACTAGAAGACTACTAGACTATAAAACTAATAAGACTATCAGACAATCCGACAACCAGACTACCTACCTTCTTGACTACCAGACTACCCGACTACTAGACTACAAGACTACCTGACTACTATGACTACCAGACAACTTGACTACTAGACTATCAGACTACCAGACTAGAAGACAGACTAGATTATAAAACTAATAGACTATCGGACTATCAGACAATCAGACTATCAGAAAACCAGACCGCCAGACTACCTGACTACTAGACTACTAGACTACCAGACAACTTGACTACCTGACTACTAGACTATCAGACTACCAGACTAGAAGACTATTAGACTACCAGACTATAAGAACTATAAGAAAAGAAATCTGAAAAAGAGGTCCCGTTATGAACCCCCCAGACCGCCGGCAGGCATGGGAAGCACCGTCCCACACCTACTCTAGAAAACTACTTGACTATCAGACTACCAGACTAGAAAACTACTGGACTATCAGACTACCAGACTACCAAACAACCGGACTACCAGACTGCTGGAATACCAGTCAACCAGACTACCAGATGTATTTTTTAAAATCAAACACTCCCGAATGCTTTCTTGTTTTTCGAGTTTTGATGTTTTATAATCTTTGTCTTAATTTATTTTAATTAATAGTCTGTAGATAGATAGTTAAATTAAGAATTTCAAGTTTAAATAATTTTGTTTTATTAAAGAAATGAACTCCATCCTTTCTATATTTCTTTAAGTTTATGAAATTATTTCCAAATCTGTATGAATGTTACATGAAAGCCACAGAAATTTCATGAAAAAAAAATATTTTCTTCTAAAAAAAATTTTTTTTTTTGACTGAATTAATTTTAGGATTTACAAACCAAAGCTGCAGATTGCAGAATATTCAAAATGGACGAATCAGTGCGAACAATAAGAATCAGTTACGTCAATTTGATTTAATTTAAAAAATTGTAAATCAGAAGCAGAATTTAAAGAATTTGAACCGCGGCTTAAATTTAAACCGCGGCTCAAATATGGTTGGTTCCACTTAAAGTTGTATTCAATGTTTCAAGATTTAAACTGTCACTCAATTAAAACCGGTTTTTGGCGGATTTGAGACGCGGCTTAGATTCATTAAGTTTGGACACTGGGTGGTTAAAATCTAATATTTCCAGTGCACGGTGTCGATATGTTACTAGCTGAAAGAAAATGCATATTGGGTCCTATGATTAAGATCCATAGTTCCAAGGAAGGTTTACCAGGAATTATCAAAGATGTATTTACATAAAAATAGAATCTTGAACAAACTTTGTGCTGTTTATGTACATCACAGAAAGTGTGGTTCAGTTTATTTGTGAAAAAAGATATAGGGGTTCCTAGTACATTCATTGCATCACATAATGATATGAAATCCGGAATAAAGCGGTTTTGCGGAATACTTTGTTTCGTGCTTTGTAGTAGAGTAATAAGAGATATTTGAATTTTAAATGTGCAAAAACTTGCTTTAATTCAGGGGTTTGAAAAATATCAAAAACATTAAAACCCTTCTCCTTCACGAGAAAATCATTTTATTTTACCGTAAAGACATTATTTTGAAAATGAAAATGTTCATCCTTTTTCAGGGGCGGATACAGGAGGGGGGCGGCAGGACCTTCGCACCCCCTGCTGAGATTTCAAAATAGCTTCTCAATAGCTCTTAAGCGAAAGAAAACCTAGTGCTAGACAGGAAAAATATCAATCATAATTTTTTTTTCTTCCGAAATAAAATCTAGCACCCCTCTCACTTAAATACTGTCTCCGCCCTTGTCGTTTTTTAAGTTTTGGGGTTTTGGATAAAAAAGCTTTATAAATAAAAAATATGCCTAAGAAAAGCTATAAAAAAATTTTAACAAGATGGGAAGGATGACATCAAGATGGCTATACAGAAGAAAGCAACTGATTTCTCGGTTAAAATGTAATTTTCTGATAATTTTATCTTTACAAATAGATATCGAAGACCTATAATTTTTCTATCATGAATTACTACATAGATACATTAATTTGAAATATTTAGAATTTACAAAATCAGGTTGCAAAGATAAGAGAAATAGAACTAAAAACTTTTCAAAAACTAAAACAAAAGTTCGGACGGAACTAAAATGGCAAGCACTTTGACTAAAGACCACTAAAAAAGAGAAACTACCAAGAGATAAATAATTTTGAATTTAAAATAAAGATATAAAGAATGGCAAAAAATATAAAAAAAAACGATCTAAATAAAGACCACTCGGAAGAAATTAAAGTAAAAAGGAATAAATTGCATGAAAAGAAACAATGTGAAAATAAAGGATTGTTAGGTTGATGACCCTGTAAATGATATTTGATCTATATTTGTGAATTGCTTCAATAAAATGACGAATCAAGAAATTGAATTTCTTGAAATAAGGTCATTGTTTTGGAAGAAAGAAGAGGAGGTATGAACAGTACACGATTTATGTGCTACCGGGAGGGGTCAAAGGCATTGTTCGAAAATATAAAGATTTCGTCATGTTTCAACCAAACTCTATCAATCAGGGAATTTCCCTGATAGTTGAATTTATATTTAAAAAGAAAGATATTCCATTATGGAAAATAATTTAGACATCCATATATAAAGTGTCTTTAAACCTAGCTAACCGTAATAAAATATACAAAATACAAAAATAAAGTTTTTTTTTATTTATTTATAAATATAACCTGTTCAGTACCCCCCCCCCACGCATATTGTGCTATAAAAAGAAACTGCATTCTTGTCAAAAAACAATTGTCTATTCCCTATATCTTTGCAACTTCTGATTTTAGAGTAAATCTGTCAAATTCCAAAATTTAGACTATCTTGTCTATCACAATTCTAACTTTGAAATATCAAAGGTCTACAAAGTCGGGTTGCAAAGATATAGGGATTGTAAAGTTTGTGACAAGGACTCAACTCCTGTATTATTTAATGGAAAACTACTGAATTTTGAAACTGATTCATTCCTCTCGCAGCGTAAAAAAATAATTTTAGCATATACTCATGAAAGAGAGGAAAGGGGGGGTTGTGTAAAATGACACAATTTAAAAATGGCCTAGCAGTAATACTATGATGTAATTTGTACACAATGCACCATGCACACTGCGTAGTGTACATATAACGTGACTCACACCCAGATAATTATTTTAGAAGATTAAATTACGTCGCAACTTTGCTGACACAGATAGGTGAGAGAGAACAAAGTGGAGAATAGTTAGCGAAGAGAAGAACGCGGGGAAAGGAGGGGTGGTAGAACAATGCAGAGAAGAGAGGGGGACAATATTTATATGCAATACATACACCCCTGGTCAATTTTTTTAATTGAAGTCCTACGATAAAAGTGACAACTTACGTGATTTTAATAATCAATTTTTTTTCGATCAATTAAGATTAATTTATTTGTTGGTATTGATTTATTTAAAAATTGTATGGTTTATAAAATTTTAATGGCACCTTAATAATATTTGCATTTAGAACTAACAATCAAGTTATAAATAAAGAATTTTTCAGCAATTTAAAATTTGTTTGCGTGAATACAAAAAATTTTAGAATTTAAATTGTTGATTTTCTAATTTTTTTATCTTAATCTCTCATTTTAACAATATCTTTCTCTTTATATTTAGATTCTGGACCCTCCTGTGCACCAGCTGGAGGAGGCAACTAATAAACAAATAATTAAACACAACCAGATACCACAAGCTATCTCACAGCCCAAGGTAGAGTTGGTTTCTTCATCTGAACCTGGGTTAAAGGGATTTTAACGCAATTTAAAATGACCGTCCATATTCGATATATAATTTTCGATTCACAAGTAAACCCTCGACTGAGGAAAACGATGGAATTATACCTGTTTACTATTTGGAAATAGATTATTTTTTAAATTGCGGTTCTATTTTCAATTGACTGATGGATTTGTTCTGCAGATAAAGAAATGAAGGAATTTTAGCGTACTTAAATCTGTTCTGAGCTGAAAACTTTTGATTGGGATATCCTTAATCCCGATCGGTTCATTAATCTGAGCTGAAAACTTTAGAATGGATAAACTTTAATCCTGACTTCTTGATCCGAATATCCACTGTGGAAACTTTTCATTTTAGTCCTTAATCCACTCTTTTTCTCTCTCCTTGGATATCCGTTAATTGTTTTCTCCAATGAGAATATTTCTGTTTTCTCATTGGTTGCCCACTTTTCTCTGATTGGCTACTACAGTTTCTCAGATGATTAAATATTAATTTGAATTTTATCGTTTTTCATACACTTTTAAGATAATCTTGCAAGATTATGTTAATCTGGAGATTAAGAAAAAGAGTGGATTAAGCCTTAATCCCGTTATCCACAATTCAAAAGTTCCCAGCTCTGGAGATTTAAAAAAAAGAGAACAAGCATTATTTAATCTCGAGATTTAGAAAAAGAGTGGATCAAGCATTAATCCCGATATCCATCATTCAAAAGTTCCCAGCTCAGGACAGGAAACGGACGTTATCTTCCTCATTTTTACTTATTAAATGGCAGTCTTCTGAAAATACTACTACAGTCCCTCTGATGAATCTCTTATGATCTATTAAATAGCATCCATGGATCCGAATCCAAGTGGGAAAATATCGACCAAAGTTTAAAAATAAAATTTTTATCTAAGTTCAAATCCTAAATCCCAAATCTGTCCAATGCATTGATAGCAGACATATTTTAAAAATTTGCTTATGTGCATATCAGAGAGAGTACAACCAAAGAACAACATGTTTGAACTGGGGTTGGACAAATTTTGTCCAGGATCAATTATGTTTCCCATCCCAACCTAATGGATCAACCATTATTTTAGTGACTCAAACAATTGTTTAGGAATTCCATGTGGAGCTTGAAACCTTTCTCATGGATGGGAAAATCCAACCCTTCACTGTTTCTGTTTCAACATCAGGTAACCTGTTCTTCTAGAAATATTATCCACTGTTTCTGTTTCAACATCAGGTAACCTTTCTTATAGAAATATTATCCACTGTTTCTGTTTCAACATCAGGTAACCTGTTCTTCTAGAAATATTATCCACTGTTTCTGTTTCAACATCAGGTAACCTGTTCTTCTAGAAATATTATCCACTGTTTCTGTTTCAACATCAGGTAACCTGTTCTTATAGAAATATTATCCACTGTTTCTGTTTCAACATCAGGTAACCCGTTCTTCTAGAAATATTATCCACTGTTTCTGTTTCAACATCAGGTAACCTGTTCTTCTAGAAATATTATCCACTGTTTCTCTTTCAACATCAGGTAACCTGTTCTTCTAGAAATATTATCCACTGTTTCTGTTTCAACATCAGGTAACCTGTTCTTCTAGAAATATTTCCCACTGTTTCTCCTTCATAATCAGGTAATGTTTGCTTCTAGAAATATTATCTACTGTTTCTCCTTTAACATTTGGTAACGATTTCTTCTAATTATATCATCACTGTTTTTGCTTCAACATTTGGTAATGATTTCTTCTAAAAATATTTCCACTGTTTCTGTTTCAACATCAGATAATGTTTGCTTCTAGAAATATTTCCACTGTTTCTGTTTCAACATCAGGTTATGTTTGCTTCTAGACATATTATCCACTGTTTCTGTTTCAACATTAGGTAATGTTTGCTTCTAGAAATATTTCCCACAGTTTCTGTTTCAGCATCAGGTTATGTTTGCTTCTAGAAATATTTCCCACTGTTACTCTTTTTACATCAGGTAATAATTTCTTATGGATATATTTCCACTGTTTCTGTTTCAACATCAGGTTATGTTTGCTTCTAGACATATTATCCACTGTTTCTGTTTCAACATCAGATAATGTTTGCTTCTAGAAATATTTCCCACAGTTTCTGTTTCAACATCAGGTTATGTTTGCTTCTAGAAATATTTCCCACTGTTTCTGTTTCAACATCATGCAACGTTTTCTTCTATAAATATTTCCCACTGTTTCGTTCAACATCATGCAATGTTTTCTTCTAGAAATATTTCCCACTGTTTCTGTTTTTTAAGGTATAGGTAATATTTATTTCGGTTTTCTTGACAGAAATGATATATATAAACTCCCATTTTCACTTTTTCTCAAGCCTATAAAAATCCTTGAACATTTTTTTGTTTAGCTATTCTTGTGCTGGATCTACATTCCCATTTGGCAGATGAAGATGTTTGTGGATATCTTGCAGGTTCAAACATTGTTTTATCATTAGTGGAAACTTATGAATTCGGTTTTATTTTTAACTACTAATTTTGACTTTCTATTTTTGTGGAATTCAATGAAATTTGCGAATTTCATCTTGCTCAAGTGCAAGGGTTTGTTTTACATGATGTAATAGAATTGCTGAGTCTTGCTATAGTTAATCTACCACTCAACCATTTAGAAACTTCCATCTTATGTGTTTTAATGGAAAACATAGAAGATGTATTAGAATCTGTCACCTCTACACCCGTAAAAACTTCAATATCTTCCACATTATTGATCAGATAAAGGTTTCGAGGGTAACGTTGTGAATCTGGCATTGCCATTGTTGCATAAAGAGTCACTCGAAATTACGCTCACAGTCCCTTTATATTTCAACCCTAACTACAGGAGCATTGGCAAAAATCAAGTTGTCAGGAACGGATCTTTTGTATGATTCTTAAACGGAAAAACACACAGGGTGAGAGAAAAAAACCATGAATATCGATGTTTTGGACATTTTTTTCATTTTTGTGTGCTTCGAATTTTAGGCATGAAAAATTTGAATTTTATTTAAAAATTTATAAATATGTTTGGAACACGGGGAAAAAAATCCACAAAAAAACTTTTTTTTTAGGTAAAAGTGAAATTTTTTGAAAAATTGTTTGGAAAATGTTATTTATTGTTTTCCAAAATTTCATAAAAATTGATCAAAAATAAAACGAGATGTTGTGGAAGACGATGCCTGGCCGCGTTAAACTAGTTCCACAAGATTCAACAGAATGAGATAGAATTAGCGATTGAAAGGTTATTTTTTTTGGGGGGGGGATAAGCCTGCGTCGACCCCCCATTAAAACCCATATATTTTCATATTAAATTATACATAGAATTCAAGAGGGCTAAAAATGTACCTTATGTGTAGAGACTGAGAGAGTTAATAGATCACTGTTGAAATTTACTTTATTCTCATCACTCTAAAAATAAAATATCATTAATTGAAAGCAGTAAATTTCACTCAGATAATATGACGGATCAATATTAAAGTCAAAATTAATAATATTTTTTATAAAACTACCTTTTTTTCTTGTTCACTGTAGAATTCCATTTCAGTTTGGAAATCAGACCCTTCGAAGAAAGATTGTAGAGGGCTGGACTGTGTGGCCCCGCCTACCCCAATCCGGGCAAAAATGGGCAATGAGGTCATTCTTGGCATAGAAAGGCATGAATGCACTCGTGTAACGTAGAAAACTGAATTATCTCAGGAATAATCTAATGAATTGCGTCACTGTTTTACTTCCAGAAATATTTACGCAATCCTGGCGTATTTCGTCACTGTTAATATCTTGTTCACAGTGTATGACAGTTAACAGTCGACCGCAATACAATTCAACAGCTGACAGTTGCTGTCAGGCTGTGGCTGTCTAAGTTTGTTTGAATGGTGTAATACACTATATAAGGCGGCTGTACTGAAACTACTACGTCGTGAGCTGTTTGTTAATCTAGTGCGCATGCGCATCTTACACTGCGCGCCCACAGAGAACATGAACCAAGGTCAAAATTCAGACAAAAAAAATTGAAAACATGGCGCTATAATTGCAAACTTAAACGTTTAACCTTTTAGAACCTTTATTTGCCATAATTTACAACTTTAAAAATTTAAACTGATCCTCTTCTTTCAATTTTTCAAATGTTGTAAGCTGCAATTTTACACATATGAAAAATTTTTCGAGACATTTGAATTTTTGAGAAATTTAATCTTTTTTTCAAAGAAAACATTTTTATGGTCTGGATTGCGCGGCCACGACGTTCTAAACCATCCCATTTGCACAATTCTTCTAAGAGAATTTATATTCTCAACAATTTTGCTTGTTTATTTTTCTGTAAGGGTGTTTATATTCTTACAAAAATGTGTGCTTGCGTAATTAAATAAAAATCTTACACCGATCTTGTTTATAGTTTGTTTAAAATCCGCCAGAGGTCTCTGTGCACAATGTTTATAAAATTGACGCCTGCGCACTGAGAGCCGACTTGACGCATGCGTAAACGCAGAAAATTTGATCACTTTCGGCAGGTAGATAAAAATATTGATGCCAAACCGGATTATATCAGATGAGATCAGAAGTTTACTGATTACCAGAAAGTAATGACCTTCAAGACTGATAAAAGTAGTCAAAAGAATAAACATTCTAATCAATCGGACTTTTGTTATGTTGAGATCGAAGTTAATATTTGGTATTAATTTCCTAGAGAACGATTTCCTGAACCCCTCTCCTTTCATCTTTGTACATGGATCATTGGGGCCTGTCCTATATTGAACGATTTTTGTATATACGATTTGGTAATTTCGTTGATAACGATTTCTGCCCCCTCCCCTTCCCCCTCCTATCAAATTTGTACATGCATCTTATATTTAACACGTAGATAAAGTTGGTCATGGCCAAAGCGCTCGGCCCCCTGGCCGGTTCTAGCCGTGGGGCTCGGCCGGGCGTTGCGCTCACATGACCAACAATTAATCCTTGAGTTAAATATGAGATGCGCTTATAAAATTTATAGTAAGGGGGGTGGCCAAAAATCGTTCTCTAGGAAATTACCCACTCTCTGGGTCGAGTGCTGCGGCTAGGAGGCCGATCATGCCGCGGCTCGGGGTCAAGGCGACAACATGACCAGCTTTTTAAAAACTACCTAAAAATTGATAAAAATGAATGACAAAGTACAAAATTGATATGATGGGGNAGACCAAATATCTTAATTACTTAACTTTGATGGTTGTGTATCATAAAACTTAATTGTTCATAGTTTCAGACTATCTTGTTCATAGTTTCAGACTATCTTGTTCATAGTTTCAGACTATCTTGTTGCATGATGGATAAAGGACATCCACAAATCCTATCTATCCCCCAGTTTCTACAGCAAGCCCGGGGAGCAGGAGACAGGAATAGTGGAGAGTATTCCAGCGCTAGGTTCAGTATGGAGCAGGAGGATTCATCTGACACGGAGCAAACCGATTCAGATCTTCATAACGAGTCAAACCAGGAAGATATTTAATAATCATTTTAATCTTAGAAGAAAACGTTAGGGTCCGGAAATTATACGATTTTTGGACTCCCCCCCCCCCTTATTTCAATTTGTACATGACCAACAAATTTTCAGCCAAATTATTATCATTATTTATTTTGTATTACATTAGGATTAGGTTAGGTTTAGACAATTTCTTGACCGAGCGCTGCGACAAGGACATTCCAGGGGGGCCGAGCGACGCGGCTAGGACAGACTAGGGGCCCGGCAAAGCGGCCACATGACCAATTATACCCGGCCATGTGTACATATTAGATGCATGCACAAAATTGATAGAAGGGTTGGGGGTGTCCAAAAATCTTATACTAGGAAATTACTAAACGTTAACCTCAAGCTAACATGGCCAGGTTTAGAAATACGTAGTATTACTATATCTATGAAATTGTCTTTTTAAAGCATGTATATAAAAAATACATGATAAAGAAACAATGCATGTAAGACATCATCAAAATTTAACCTCAATAACTAATTCTAATTACAAAATTATGAAAATGCCCCCCTAAAACGGATAGCCCCCGGCCCCCGCCCCCTACCTCAGTGATGGCCAGCTGAAAAAAAATGTTCTAGTATATTATGAAGTATTGTTTTTAAATTTATTTATCAATTTCTGAAATAATTTTTGGTCTTAAAAATAATTGACTAAATTGGGGGTGTGGACAAATAATGTACATATTTATGCCAAGGATATCCATTTAACCCCCTCTCCCACCCATCTAAAAAATATTATTATTCTGTGAGTGTAGGGTGAAGATGGTGCTGGGGAAAGTGAAGATGGAAAATCTAATAAACTAACTCTTTCAATCCTTCTCAGCGAGGGATTAATTGAACCCGGAGACGGTGTTCTCTCGATCGATTATCTTGGACAATCATTCCGGGGCGATCTTCTCCCGATCGGAAAAATTCGATCGGTGGAGACCGGATTAGTGTTTAATAACCCTAGTGCCTGGGCGATATACTGCAAGAAGATAATTAACCCTGCCAAGAAGTCTGGGTGTGGGTGGGCGAGTATCAAGTATAAAGGGAGAAAAATGGATTATTTCAAGAATATTTGGTTAAAGCGGAGATCACAACGCGAAGCGGAAACTGCTAAAAATGAGGCAGCGCAAGCATTGACTGCGTTATCAAACTCCCTAGCAGGTAACAGGATGTTAGTTAAAGTAAAATTTTTTTTCGAATCTCCTTTATTTTCTCCAAAAAAGGTGAAAATTTGCAATATAACGAATTTTTTTTACTCTTAAAGAATGATCTTTTGTTTATTTTTCATTTTGTGAATAAATTCTTTTATAATTGCAGATTACTTTCAGGAAAGTTAAGAACGGGTTTTTTATGTATTTTATGTAATTTGATTTTTTTAGGACTTTACATATAATTACTTCGAATTATATAATTTTTTTCGAATGATTTGTTAGTCATTCGTTTTAAAAAGGGGGAGAAAATGTCGACATGCAGTTGATGATAAATTTTGACCTCCCCCCCCCCCAAAAAAAAAAAACTGCGCAAATGATTTCTTTAATTTTCAAAATAAATATAATTATAAAATTGCATAGGTCACAGTGTACCGTCGTCAGCTGGTCAGTTGGATATTATTCCTGTCCACGGTGTCCCTCATCCTCTACAACCTGGAGGTCAACACACTCATCCTTTACATCCTGGAGGCGTTCAACCTGGATCTCAACCCTCTCATCTTCATAACCAACATCAATCAGACCCAGAAGTGCAGGTGGGTGGGGGGAAAAATTTCTAAAAATAATTGATCCAGAAATTTTCCAGCATGTTTTATATACCGCTGAATGGTTCTGAAGATACAAGTTTTAAAAATTACTGATTTCAAGGGAACCTATGTTTTGTAAGTATGCTGATTTTTTTTTCTATTTGAAAGAATTTGTCAGGGGTCTATAAAATTCTTTCCCCCCTGGGGGGGGACATCTATAAATTTTAATAGAAAAAAAAATGAAAAATAAGAAATTTAAAAAAAATTATTTTATTTTTCTTTAAAAAAAGGGGGTTAAGAGAGACGAAGAAAATACTATATGTATAACAAATATATACGGATCCACGGATCAACCACAATCTGTAAAAACAAAACGTTTTGCCTTCAAACCCCAAATCTGAACTGTTACAAACAGAGAGATTATTAAAAGTTTCCTTATCTCTGAAGGGCTCATCGAGTTTTGGCAAAAAAAGAAATAAAAAAATTTGAAAATATTACTGCATCAAAATTAAATTAATCCTAAGCACTGACCTCTTATACAGATTAAATGAGGGGGGGGGGGATTAAACGTCTAGATTGAACATAATCTAACCTAGTGAAGAGTAGAAAATCTTCTTCTGTGTAGTTTTCAGTCTTTCTTGATCAGAACTTGGTCTCTCTGCTGGAAGAGCCTCCTCAGAGGTTACTGTGTGGGGGAGGGGAGAAGCGCGAGGGTGGGATGGCAGGGAGGACCTGCGAGGGTGGGAAGGTGTGTGGCTATATGAAGGATCACCTATAGTGTCCTCTTCTGTTTCTAAAATAAAACAAGAAATAAAAATCATAAATGGTCTAAACAAATTAACTAATTATTTGTAATGCAAAAAAACAGGCAAAAAAGTAAGTAATTTTGCGTTTTAAAAAAAATTAAATTTGAATCGACATATTTTTTCTAATCTTGATCCAGATTACGTACATACTTTTCCCACACTGGATCCGGATCCGGGAATAGTTTTTTTTTTTTTTTTACCTGGATTCGATGCATTCAGCGGATTATCCACAAGAGAAATAAATTCCTCAAATAATCTGTTCTCATCAATCTAAACAAAAAATAATGAATTAGATTAAAAAAGTCGAAGAAAATGAAAACTGTGGAATGTGAATGTGATTTTCTTTTACATTCAAATGAATATGGGAAAAAAACAGCAGTGTGCAGAAATCCATTTCACTTATTTTGACAAAAAAAGAGATTAAATTATATAGCCACAGAAATTAAACATGGGGAATCCATAATTCTGTGGAAAATGGAGACAACTGTTAAACTAGTGTTATCATGAAATTGAAATTGAAATAAAAAAACAGCAAATCAATATAAAAAACAAAAACAAGTGAATATAAAAAACAGCAATGGATTTAAAAACAGCAATGGATATAAAAACAGCAAATGAATATAAAAAAATACAACAAATGAATATATAAACAGCAAATGAATATAAAAAATAACAAATGAATATACAAAATAACAAAGGAATATAAAAAAACAGCAAATAAATATATAAACAGCAAATGAATATATATCAGTATCAGTGTGCACAACCCATTCAACTTAAAAAGGTGAATTTTAAGCTAATGGTAATTATACTATTTTTTAACAACAAAGATTATTTTGATATCGTCCTATTCACAGATTTGGTGTTAAAAATAGGTAGTAAATTTGTTTCAGAACTATGGGGGGGGGGGGGGTTGCTGGTTCTTTGAAAGTATACATTTTTAAACAAGAAGTTCTAGATTTACGTTAAAATCAAATTAAATGCATTTCATTCAAGTTTATCGGACAATAAACATTAATAGGAATTATTCCAGGAAGTGTGTGGGGGGGGGGATCTAAAAAAGACTGTTTTGAATTAATTCCACTGGAACCCCTTGAAACAGCGGCAGAAGTTGATCAGATTTGTAATTGTATTTATAGACCCCTTGTTCAATTGTGTCCATTAAGTCAATACATAAATGTACTTGGTAGAAAAACCTTAATTTCTCTGATTTGGGTTAACTGAACTGAAAACATGGAAATCAAATCTCAACAGGCAAGTATGGTAATTTCCTAATGAACGATT